CTCTCTGACTGGTTTCCAGCAACCACAGAGCAGCTTCTTTAACGGGGGAATCACACACTGTGCGTTATCCACTTGCGAACTTTGTCAGGGGTGAACAAAGCTATAGCTTCTCCGGGCAAAACGTATTGCCTTCAACCAAACATCTCCCCACTTCTTACATGTCATGAAACGACTTCAGATTGTGAATGAAGTGATCTCCAATGTTCCGCAGCTCTCCAGTTCTGTGTCTAAGGTTATGACGGAAATGAAAATGAGCTTCATTATTGTTTGGAAGCCATGATTATAAATTGACAAGCGAATGCCTACGGAAGCCTCAGTTTTCAATGCTGACACCAAACTCTCCACGTGAAGTTGTCTTCTCCTGACAAATTTCCTTTTAATTAAAACGCAGCCTGGTGGGCAGAGTCATGGGGCACATAAAGAGGTTATGTGATTCACTCAACCATTCATATGCATGCGTGACCTAGTTAGCTTTTAAAATCCTATTTAATGCCAAAAACTACATTAGAGAATTCAAACAAAAGCTCACAGGGAGTCCCATAATGAGACTGTTTTGATTATTCCCGTGATTAGCCGCTTTCCTCTCTCTTTAGTAATTTCATTTAGTAAAGTAGTCATTTTAAGAACAAGTAGATTTTCGTTATTGCTTTTTTAGTTTGCTGTGAAATTGGCAGGTGGCCAGCCATCTATAAAACTGCAATTACTTACTATTACTTAAAATTTGTCAAACTTCTTCAGGTAGCATGGAAAGAATCCCCCCATCCATGAAGACAAGGCCAAGAAAGGCAGGAATAAGACCCAGCGCAGCACAAACCTAGGTATCACTTTTAGCCCCAAATCCCAGAAATGGCACCAGTGGACAGTGTTAGGGGAAAAGGTAGGTGCAGAATTGCAGGATGGTTTTCATCCTCTGCCACAAGGCATCTGCTCTTCGAACTTTTGGAATCTACTTCTTCCTCCCACGAGGAATATGCATTCATTCATAAATGCATTTATTTGTTATTCAGCATTTCTTGAAAAGTATGTGTTTACTTCTTATGTAATTTACTTCTAAGTAATTCAACCTCTAATGCCTCCTTTATTTTAGTTTCTCTGTTGCTCTTACTTTTTTACACATTTAGCAATGAAACAATGGTGAAGATGTTCAAGAAACTATCATTGGAATTCTGTTCACTTTTCTACCACTCCTGGCTACAGATGTTTCCAAGGAGAAGGCCTGAGCAGCATGATAGAAACCCGGGTGGGCCTGCCATCCACGAATAAGATCCAGTAACAAGAGCTTCACCACCTTGGATAGATAGATGGCCCTCTTCACCCAGTTGTTTTACCACAGACAGCGACATCTAGTGGCAGGAAGACATGGCTTCCATTGTGCTACCAATTTCCCATGGCGAGGGGAGGTGCAGGAATATCTTTTAAAGGCAGGGTGACCACACTTCCAGGTTTGCCTGTGATAGACCAGGTCTATATCTATTGTCCAGACATAATTATGAGTAATGCCTGCTTTTAATCTACTAGCAAAAGTGTAAAGAGATTGGATAAGGATTACACAGCTCACCTAATGTTCCACCATAGCTCTCCTACCTATTAGGTGACTTAACACATTTTTAGTCAGTGCTAAAGTGCGGCAATAAGTTCAGGAAGAACATTCCCCATTTTGTAAAATAATATTTAACTGTCCTGAAATTATCCTCCGAGCATTATGGGATAACTCCCAGCTCTAATGCTGGACCCGGTGAACAGACTGGTTTTCATGCTTTTATAGGTTTAGTCTTATTCACACCAAGCCTTTGTCTATCCAGATGAAAGCCCCTAATTTTAGTCTATTCCCAGAATTTCCCCCCTCTGATCATTAGTTTTCCTTGTTAATCAGGCTTCAGTGGTGTTTGCAGGCAACTTGTCCGCTGTCTGAAAAGTAGCGCACAATGGCCAGTCAGGCACTCACGAAAGGCCATCTGGTAGGTGTGGGCTTCCCAGCTGTATTCTATCTTTCTGAATTAATCACTTTTGTCCACGCAGAGAATAAAGGGCAGAGACACTGTCTAGGTGGCCTATAGTGAGCCCTCTATCTATGCTTGCAAAAGAAAAGAGACAAAAAGCACAAGGAAATCAAAGAAAAATAGCAGAAAGGAAAAAGGAAGACCAGTGTGCATAATTAGAAAGCAATTTAGTAAATTCAGAAGCACAATTCACAAGTAAAAAAGAATTTTTTTTAATTTTTTTTTAATATCCCAGGGCCAACCAGAATGGTCAAACATATTGAGGATTGGTAAAAAATTCAAGCATGCATTGAAGGGAAACCAATGATTTCTTCCTTTCCAAGAACAGGATTTTACAGAAAAGGTACCTGAGAGAGAGTAGAAGGAGGAAAAAGGGACCATTTTGTAATGGAATACCCTCCCACGTGGTGTGTCTGATTCAGAAGTCAGAGTACATTAAAAACAAGATGTATGAGTGCCTTCGTGTGCACGGTATTTTTTCTCGGTGCTGAAGATGGATACACTGGATCTGATGTCAGTTTCTGTTATTTCAGACATTACCGTTTGCTTTCCTATGGAGCATCAAGGCAACATAATGAATTACAACTTCCCTGCTGAATTTTGCTTGTTTCTCCTTTTCTTTCACAAATCATTCCCATGCTGCCTTATCTTACCTCTGCCAGAGCTTCCAACCATTTCGGAAACCCAGCTCTTTCTCTTAAGAAAACGATAATTCACAGGGAAACAGACTACACATGACTTACACATTCATTATGTGTACCACTTGGACCCCAATCAGTTAGGATTGTTGGGCATTTGAAAACAGACTGGGTGGAAGTTCAACTGCATTTCATCTTTGATCCGAGAGTTTACTATAAAAACAAAAAGCAAGAATTTAGAGAAACAGTTACATTTTTCAAGGAAAAAAAATTTTTAACCTGTGAGTCACATGTTTTCAAGCAAATTACTTCCATGAAGTACATACTGTTCTAATTATTTATAAAAGCAGATCACGATGGATCTCAAGAACACTTTTATAAAGGATCCGTGTGCTGCTGTTCCTTTTGTCCTGAACAATGAATGTGATTCTTTAAAAAAAATATTTTAAATGTGGAACGTGGACACACAGACTTTTGGGCTCACCTAATTTTTGAAGTCTCATTGTGAACAAGAAGAGCAAGAACACGAACTTGATATACAGTCACCTCCAAGTGCTTAAGGGATCGCTGAGCAACGCCACTTGGTGGGGGAGGGGTGATGCTAGCCTGTGAGTCCTGAGCGGGAAGCCCAGCAGTCCTGTTGTATCGATGTCCTGCTCCCCCTTTCAGCCTGGCATTGTGCCCAGGGCAGCACGCACAGAATGTTCCCATTGATGAGAAACCATTTCTTGGGGGTAAACGGTATTGTCCTACGTGCGTTTTAAATGTGGGCCTGGAGGCTGCAGCCCTAGAGCCTTCGTAAGCATCCAGAGAAGTAATTAATTTTGCAAATCACAAACATGTTTGATTTGGCTCTTTGAAAGTACGGTTCTGAGAACAACTGTGCCCTTCCTAATTTGGAAGTATTTTCTTTCTGGTTTTTATTTTGACATGTTCCCCGGTATCAACTCCTGTGCTATTTCTGGCCTCCCATGGGAGCCGCTTCCAGGGTCGTCATAGTGCAGACAAACACTCAAGAAAACCAAGAGCTCGGAGCTTTCATAAAGCATTTACTTTTATTTCAAAACATTATACAGGCATTACATGGCCACAGCCAGTCCGTGAGGGAGCATGCAAATATCAAAAATGGAGAGTTTGCTCAACTTATAGGTGTAAATTTCTTTCTTTCTTTTTTTTTTCTTTCTTTTGGTTCATATTTTCCATTTGCAATGTCTGTGTTAGTGTGCTTTGTTAATGTGGCTTGACAATAGAATCCTACCCATGGGGTAAAATCTGTACTGGTAGCTACCTGGGGACTCCTACGTGGTTATAAATCATAACAAACGCAAAACAAACAATACCACACGCTTCTCAAAAGGTTAATAGCACACGTTAGCAATATCTAAACTAAACATGGAGACGTTGTCATGGGACACAGTGGTGCCGAGTTTTCCACTGCTTGGTCTACCTGGTTGTGAATTTCAGAGTCTGAAGAGGTGAGAAGACATGACCAAGGCAAGCTCCGTGCCCAGGGCAAGTTTTCATTGAGGCAGTGAGAACCTCCACTCATCTCTAGGTGGGGTTCAGGAAAGCTGTGGTTCGCTTGTCCAATCCAATTCTATACAACTTGCTAGTCTCATTCACGGAGGAGGGTGGGGTGACGCATTGAAAAGCTGAACTTGTTGCTGGTGTCTACTGAGGTTATGACATTTCAGAAGTGAAAATAGCTAGAGTTAATGTCCTACACCCATTTCCCATCCCACTCCCAAAGGATAGATGTTTTTATACAGAAAAGAAAGTGTGTTTCCTGCTATCTTTTCTTTTCTTTTTTCTTTTTTTTTGTTTTTTTGTTCCCAAGAGTTGATGGGAACTCCGGATCTCAGACAATTCAGTGTTATCAGCCTTTCTAAATGGAGACAAACCAACACCGTGAAGGGCATGAAAGTCTTGTGGATAAGGACACTGGATGATAAAGCATATACAGTGAATTCACCTTAACATTCACACTTGGTTTTCCTACACTGGAGTCAATTGAAATATCCTAGAAAATAATTCAGATGGCAACTTTCAGCCATCCACTGATTGCCAACCTCTGTGAAATTGAAATTTTAAAAAAGATTCCCAGTCCACTGAGTCGATTAGGAAAACCTTCAGCCGCTTATTTCTCCTAAGATTTTACTAAGCATCTACAAATTAGTGTCACACACACACACACAAAGAAAAATGAATTTAAAAAGGCTAAAACATTTGGCTTAAAATAAATACTAAAAATGCAATAAATCAAGCAAATTATGCAAACCAAAGGAATGTAAACACAAAAAGAAAACCACAGTCTTTAAAGGTCTTCAGGTCTGAATGGATGAAATATTGAGAGAAAGGTATTTAATCGGTTTTAAAGGTAGCAGAAAGCAGACATTGGCAAAGTTGTTTTGACTTGACGTAGCTTTCACATTGTGGTTCCCCCCCCCCCCCCCCGCCCCCCAGAGAAAATAAAACATGTTTCTAAAGGGGCTGAACACAGATGAGCTTACAATCTGCATATCAGAAAAGGTACTTTTTCTTCTCCATTTGCAAGGGCTGGACTACCCATGCCCAGAGGAGAAGGCAGGCAGAGGGGCCATGTGACTGCTGACTGACAGCATGGAGTGCTTTTGCCTTCCTAAGGAGGCCTCGCTCAGGCTACATGGGAATCCCGACTAAGCTGCAATCTGTCCTTCTGTCGTTCAGAGACCCCTCTGGTGTTTTGCTTTACTTGCTTAAGATTCATTGATTTTACTTGCCCAAAGCTTTATAAGCATTTACTTTTCCTTTACCAACCCTGTCACTTAATCAAGGATCTTTCTGAATGATAGTGAAGCCAGCCAGACGTAAAGACCATTTCCCATGCTGACACATAAGATCTATCTCTAAATCACAGAGATGTGCCGGTGGTTCTTATTTCCTGTGTTTGGAAAAGGGCTGTTTTAAGGGCCCTTTGAACAGAATTAGAGGAGTGACATATCCCTCAGAGCCTTATCAGGACCTTGTCATATTCTCTGTCTCCGTAAGAATGCTGTGTCGATATATTCTGCTCATGAATGGATGCCAAATACGACCAGCATGCCAGACTTTCTCATCGTTGACATCTCTACCACCACAAAGTGGCCAGATGAGTCGAGCTTGGTCAGAGAATGCTTCACATCAGCACCTCGACTTTGTCTGGAGGCCACCATAAAGGTAGCTGCATGCCTGTGTATTTCAGAAGGAGTGTCACCCAATTAAAAGGCTTTCGCCAACACCTTGGTTAATTTCCATATCACTAAAGATAATCTGGGGAGGAGGGGGCGGGGAAGAAAAGCAAATCTATTTTTTTTTTTCGAAGAGAGGATATAAGAAGAAGCAGCAGGATTTTAAAAAACATATATTCCCCTAAACATATATTATATTACTCCCGGTTTTTCCCATAAGCCACAGAAATGAAACATTCCTTATCCTGATACTTCAGAGACTTGATTGGCATTATCTAAGGTGGCACAACAGAAAGACGATGGCCGGGAATAATCAGAGATCAAAATAGAAAAAGGCGATATCTATTCCTAGAATAGAGAAGTATATGGTCAGTCGCCCCTCCCCACAAGGGTCACAGCAAGAAATACGTATTGAGCAGAACAATCCAAAGGGAACAGGGGAAGCCGTGAGCCACCAGGTCTGCAGGACAGTGACACTGCTCAGGGCGGGGCTCCTGTGGCTGGCAGCACTCATAGACAGTGCACACACCATGAAGCATGATTCTTAAAAAGTGGCTTGCTCTAGAAAAGTGGGATTTATGTAAACTACATGTGAGTGGTCTGGCAATAGGTTCCCTCAAGAGTACAAAACATCCTCCTGAAACTAGGTGTCATAAGAGCAACGATACTAATCCGAGTGATAACAATAACAGTTGCTTTTGATTCAAAAATGTTCACAGTACTGAATGCAGGGGCGGTGTGGCCAGGATACACACAAGCGGGGCATCTTTCCAAGTCAGGTGGGTCAGAGCCTGTCTCCAGTGATGCTTGCTAGGTTGTGCCTTTGATGTTTAGGCTTTTGGATTTGCTACCTTGCAGTCCACCCGTGTAAACTGCACCTAATAAATACCTTTCTCTATGTACAATACAGAGATGATGGGCGAAAACGTGGCCACTGAGTCGTGCTCAGTGGGCGGGGGGCGGGCCTCAGCCTAGGCCACACGGACGTGGGGCTCCTCTTCGGTCTCCTGGCCCAGGCTGGTGTAGGTGACCGACGGCTCCACCTGAGCTGTGGCCGGTAAGTCCACGACAGGTCCCGAAGGGTTGCGGAACTGCTTGTACACCCGCGGGTCCTGGGCTACGTACGTGGAGGTGGAGGAGTAGAGCACCAGCCCGATGAGGATGGTGAAGAAGGACAGGAGGTAAAGGCCTGAAAACTAAGAAACACCACAGCAAGTTAACGGGCATTCAGAGGGGAGCCATTAAAGAAGCACAAGGAGACCAGGGTGGATCCGCTCCCTCTTAGATCAGGTGCTTGATGAGCTGGCCAGTGCTCTTGATGGAGGTTAATTTGCTCTCCCTAAACTTCCTGGTCTTACTGAGTCTCTTTATATGTATATATTTTTCTTGACTCTGTGGCTAACACAGAGGCACACTTAGCTAACTGTGCCTAAAATGCCAGTGGGAGAGCTAGGAAGCACAAATTAAAATACATCAAGTTAAAAGCCAAAACTCTCCAATATCGCTCGACACAGAGTGGCTATCGTTGGCTTCATTAAACCTAGCAGAAACATAGACATTCCATTTGATGTAATGAAGCCATGAACACTAGACCCAGCTGCATGAGCACTCCCATTTCCCCTAATCCAGTTCACACTCTATTTGTGTTCCGGGCAGGAGCTGTTATTTGACTATCTTTGCATTAGATTATCAGTAGGTGCAGAAAAACAAACAAAAAAACAAACAAAAATACACTATAGTGTTCCATTCTTGACCCCCTAACCTTAAAACAAAACCAATAGGGGTTGTATCTATAGAATTTTGCTTCCTAAATTCTTTGCTTGACAGTTGTTAGAGTTTTGTAAGGAAAAAAAAAATCAACAACAGAATAATGGTTTATACAAGAGCCCAAGAATTTACATATGTGCTAAAAACTACCACTTCTGAACCTTCCTGAGTAGTTATACGGGAAGTAGTTACTTGAGTAATTACTGGGGAAGAGTGAGGTGACACTATATGCTGCCATTTCTGTAGTTTCTTTCATTCATTCACTGTGTTCAACAAATAGTTTCTTCTCTATAGCAAACGTTGAACTTTTTACTGGGAAAAAGAAATGGAAACATATGGTTGTTACCATCAAGGATTTGATAGTTCAGTGGAGAAGCAGGGATATACAGATAGACAAGAATAATACAAGGCACTCTGGCTGGCCAAATCTCATTTTAGTCAATAGCTCTTATCCCCATCTTGACCACAGTCTGCATCCAAGGGAAAAAAGGATTTGATTTTCCTAATTTATTTTTTTATGCTCACATTCTGAAAGAACTAAAAACTGGTGGGGAAATAAAGGACAAAAGTCAATTGGAAGCTAAAAGAAAGGAGAGGAGGAAAAAGATCCAGAAATCTATAAAGTAATTGCAAGGTTACAATAAAGCGTTAAAAGACGGCTGTAACAGGAAAGGCAGTTTTGAAAATGGCACAAAGAAAAGATAGGCCTGCGGCTAACGTTCCTGCCATATGGTGGGTCTTTTCTTTTCTTCTTTTTCCTCCTATTTATTTATTTATTTAGCAGCAGCTAAGACTAAAGGCCATTTTCTGATTTTCTTTCCAGAAAAGAAACCATATGATAATACTTCCTCAGATGGATTTATATGCAAGACTCAGCTTGTAACAGCTTCACTTAATTTGAAATAGTTAATAGGAAAAGAAGACCCCTAACTCAATACTGTTGTATATAATCTTACACCTAAATGTGCTTCCTAAAATTCTACACTCAAGAGATTCATCCTTATCTAAAAGTTTGGTGAATGAAACGAATTTGTTCCTAATTTGACCATCATCTCAAATATTTTGTTAATGACTTGCATTTTTAAAACCTGTACTCTATTTCCAATGCCTTTCCATTTAATTAATACAAATTTCACTTTAAAACTGTCAAAATATTGATAGCATGGGATTTTATATGGTAGAGGCATCTTGGAAGTCACCCAAGAAATTTTATTAATAGACAGTAGAGAAAGTTTTCATTTAAACATTAGCCCACAAAGGAGCAGTAAGGCCAGCATTACAATTAATCTGGATAAATATTGAAAATCAGAAATAACAACAGGAAAGTTGGACTTGTCAAAAAGCCAGAAAAAGTTTCTGCTTATTTTTCTTTATAGATAGATAAGGAAACAATTTAATCAGGCACCTAATAGTTCTGGATGTCACACTTATCTTGATAGAGCATCCGATTAAAAACAAACAAACAAACAAACCTAATCAATCTAATAAAAACTCTGTATATTCCCAGCTGTTTAACTTATCTGCAAAGAAATACTCATTTCAAGTTCCCTGAGCAAGGAGAACGAAGGCTACTCTGGAACTCTGACGGAGGCCTGAGAGCCACCTCTGCGCTGCAGATAAGGCAAATTTCAGGTAGAGGCTGAAATGAACATGGGCAGTTGTCTGGAGTGAACTTGCTACCCTCCCTCAGCCAACGGGAAGCGATCAGGAGATTCTGTATGTTCTGTGTTGCTGACATACTTCTGCCTGCATTTTCTCTGACTTGTAGCTTTGAGAAGCTGAGACAGGACTCACCTGCATTACACTACCACACTGCACACTCTGCTTTCTTTGCTGCTGCCATTTTCCACCTTGACTGATCTCTTTGCTAACAAGCGTCAGCAAGCAGCCAAGGCACAAAAGAAGAAAGCCTGTGTGTTGCTTAGGGCGATCTGACTGGGTCACAGCCATGGTCCAGAGGAGGTAGCATGAAGACTGAGAAGGCTGGACAAAGCTCTTTAATCTCCAATTAGGTTTGAAACCGAGCTCTTAGCCCGCTGGTGCCTCATCTGATTACTCGTTAGCTAATGGGACTTTCAGCACATCCACGAAGGACAGACCACATTTCCATTTTATTTTTTATTTTTTTATTATTTTTTAATATAATTTATTGATTTCTTTGTACAGAGAGGAAAGGAGAGAGATAGAGAGTTAGAAACATCGATGAGAGAGAGTCATCGATCAGCTGCCTCTTGCACACCCCCTACTGGGGATATGCCCGCAGCCAAGGTACATGCCCTTGACCGGAATCGAACCCGGGATCCTTCAGTCCCCAAGCCGACGCTCTATCCATTGAGCCAAACCGGTCCCGGCCACATTTCCATTTTAGCTTTGGTATTAAACTTCTGGGTTGAGTTTTAATAAACTAATGACTTTAATGAACCTAAGCTTACACCAAGTACAAAGCCACATGGTTTGAAAGCGATTTCAAAGTATATTTATAAACATATCAACTAGACTATGGGAAGAAGAGAGCGATTTTCAAGGGCAGCTTTCCTTTTTCTAGCTTGCCTAAGAGGATGGCAGGGGTGAGCAGAGGTGCACATGGGTAATCCTGACAGGTGGAAAGTGGAGGATGAAGTGACTGTAGCTTAAAGCTCTCCTGTTAGTGAATGTATGTGCCCGCCATGCAGTATGGTGGGCCTGGCTTCTGTCTTGTCCTTATTTCCTGGGAGAGCACTTTAAAAAAGTTCCTCTATGTGTATGCCTGAGTGCCATGTGGTTTCTACAGGTGCCTACTGTTGGGACTCTGGTCACTATTGCTCAATGACTTCACTTGGGCCTATTAATGATCAGAACTTATTTTGTTTTAACAAATAATTAAAAGTAAAATTTTATTTGAGTTCTTACAAAGAGATGTTCCACAGTTGTATCTGCAAAACAAGACAAAGCAAAAACCAAGATTCCATGGAAACAGAAACCATGTCACTCGGGCGGTAGAGGAAGACCTGGAAAAGAGCAGTTGGTGAGGTCCCCGAGGAAAGGGGGTTACAGGGCATGTGTGAAGCTCTTGGAGTTATCTGAGAAGTTATCTAAGTTGGGTCTCACTTGGAGAGCTGGGAGAAAAGATCAGAGAAAATACAGTTGGAAGGAGGGAGAAAACAAGGTCAAAGTAGAAAGAAAAAAGATACAGGAAAGGAGGGTGCAGAACTCAATAACCAACAAAATGACGATTCTGTTCTAAAGTGAGCCAGTATGTCTATCTTTTTCTCAAAATTTTGTAAACACACACACACACACCTGTGAGCTGTTACTGCTCATGTGATAGGTCCTGCCTTCTGAACTTTTCTGAGAAGAACCCGAGAAGAGTGAGGGAATATTACTTTGAAGGCTTCTCCTGTGTAACTGATAAGCCAGGAACATTGCCTTCGAGCACGTAGGTGTTCCCAAGACTATCTCCAATGAAGGGAAGAAGTAAATGATCCAATATCTCAGACTGTAGCTCAAAAGTAGCATTATTGCTCAAGTTTCCAAAGATGATCATCTTGCCAAAACAAGAGGGCTTTATTGGATATGACCCTGGCACTGAAAGAGGCATATCATTTGGAGACATGATAATAGTAAGTGTTGAAACTAACTTCTGGATTGCATAAGGAAAAAGAATTGGAGGATATTTTTAAGTGTTCTTAGACATAGCTTTAATGTGGAGGTTTTCCACATACACCAAGGATATGTGGCTACAATGATTTCCTTTCTAGTTCTTAATCAAGAACTAGATATAATTAAGCTTTTCCACACTTTTTTACTCTTTAGCAGAAAACATCTAGGAGGGAAGAACCAGGAAATCTGCAAACTTAGTGGTTGCTTCAGCAGTCAGTGCAACTGTAGCTCAGTCGAATAATAAAGGGCAGTGACTGGTCAGTCCCAAGGTTATGCGGCACAGGCTGGTAAATGTGAGGTTTAAGAGCTGTGGGAGAATTTCTATGTAAGGAGACTGGCCTGGCTATTTCAGCAGACAATTTATGCCTGGGAAAAAAATTAGAATTTTAATTAAGTTTGTTTAAACTGTCCTGAATACTCTGCAATGCTAAAAAAAAAAAAAAAAAAAAAAAAAAAAAAAATTCTTTCTCCCAAACTTCCATGCTCTGTGATATAAAATGCACATAAAAAGATAATCAACTGGCACATATAAGTGTGCTTTCTAGACTAAGAAGGAATAAATAAGCCCAATTCTGTCTGAAACAGAACCAGTTTACACAGTTTGGAGGTTCTAGGCAACAGAGTAGTTTGAAGACCCATCAGTGAAAAGCCAATTAAAAGAGTGAATCTCGGTAGCATCATCATTTCACTAATGAAATGAAATGCTATTATAGTTGTTTCTCAAAGTCCAATTTTGAAGAAGCTGACGTAAGTGGATTTGGGGAGACCAAGTTCTCTTGCGTTTCCACTTTACATATGGATTGAAGGGCCAACCCTTTGGGAAACAGTCTAGGCAGAGGAAAAACCCATCTGCTGAGTGTCCTGGGGTGGAAGGGAGAGGACAACTCAGCAATGACAACGCATTCCTCAGCCACCATGTGTGTGGACCACGCCTGGAGCTTGAGAGTGGAATGGTGGCGAGCAGAACCAGAGGAGGCTGGAAGTTTGGGCCTGGTGGGGATCTTGAGGCAAAAGGCTCTGCCTGATTGTGATCTATGGCTGCTGGGTCTGGGCCAGTTGCTATTCAAGGCAAGGAAACTAGACAGACCTGGCTCCACAGAAATGCCAACATAAACAAGCTGATGCTCAGCCTCCTAAACTTGGCTCTGCCCTGAATTAACAAAATCATTTTTATTATTATTAAGAGTATTAAAAATGCAAAAGTTCTGCTTCTGAGTTTACTAAACTGAAAATAAATTGTCTGGAGAGGACAGAGATTTTTCCAAGTTTTTAGATCTGCCTTGTACCTGCTCTGTCTCCTACTTTTGCCTCTTCTCATTTCTTCGTTCCTTGTCTTTTCCCCATTTTTTTTTAAAAGAAGAAAAAGGATAAAGCTCTCTGGTTAAATGCTGCAATATTTCTTTCTTCTAGGTCACAGCATGGGCAATACCAAATGCGGGCATGGCACACACTCTACCGTCAAACACCATAATGGGTTGTCTTTAGGGACCAAGAACACTTATCCCCGCTCCTCACTTCCCATTCTTTGTCCAAATAGGAGTGAGAAAATAACCCCCAATTCATCTGAACTATAGAGAAAATAAATCAGCGAGTGCCCCAGTCAAAATACTAAATGGTCTCTTCATCCATATCAGAAAACCACAGCAGGGCTAAGATTTAAATATTTGGGAAGTAACCAGTCATCTAAACACCGCTTTGTAAAGGAGAGAAGCAGCAGCCAGGGCCCTTGCTGCTCTGTGTCCTGACGCTGTCACCAGGTACAGGCTGTTCCTCCCACCGCCTTTCCAGCCTGATTTATGAGGCCTTTTGTTTGGTTTTCAAAACCAATTCATTTGGCAGCATAATTTGTGTAGTCAATCACATCTAAGGCCAATAAAGGTTTGTTTTTTTTTAAATTTTTATTTGCCCAGGCAAATATCTTCCCCTGTGGGTAATTTCACACATGAGTACAGCAACAGGGAGCTAAAAATGGATTTCTGCCATTATCTTTTATATGACAAACAGACATTTTCACTTGGCTTGATGAATTGATAGGATTCCTCGTTTGTGCGGATTTCTATTCTCTGTAGTCCCACAAGTGAGGACCATAAAGTCAAGCCACATGTGGAATAAAAGGGGACAATTCTATGGGAGTGTCTAGTTATAGGTTCAGGGACAATGAAGGCTGGGAGATGGCTCCCTTTTGTCACCTTGCCATGCATCATTCTTAGTATCAGGATTCAATAAAGGGACTATATTAGTGTGCAGGGTACACTGAGCAGTGGCCTTTATGCCATTTGGATTCTTGCATCACAAGATTATCTGTTTTCCTTCCACACAACACACAGAGATGCACACCGGGCTGGATTATTAAGCTAGTGAAAGACAATTTATAGACGTGGTAGTGTTGCTATTCAACACATCTCAGAGAACCCTGACCTCATTACAATGGAATCAAGAGCTAGAAATGGGAGTGGCTCCACTCACTAGACTTTGACTAAAGCAGGTTCCCCTCAATAATGTGGATGGGCCTTATCCAATCAGTTGAAGGCCTTAAGAAAAAAAAAAGCCTGAGGTCCCCAAGAAGGAAGGAATTCTGCCTTCAGACTCCAGCTGCAATACCAACTTTCCCTGGGTCTCTAGCTTGCTGTTCTGTCCTTCAGATTTAGAATTTGCCAGCCTCTACAGCAGCATGAGCTAATTCCTTAAAATAAAAGTCTCTATTTCTATAGATATATGGATATAAATACACACAAACACACACATGTCTTTCTGGCTATGTTTCTCTGAATAACCTAATACAATTGATGATTTAAAAAAAAATCTGTTATACAAGCTCTTGATGCTGATGTAAACTTTCATAACAATTTCTCTCCGTGGCAAGTTTTAGAAATGGGGTGTTTAATAATCTTTCCCAGGAAATATAAAATGGTGGTTCATAGTGTGGGCATTAGAGTCAGAATTCTGGCATTACATCTCTGTTTTCCACTTCCTTTGGTGATCTTGCAAAGTCTCTTACCTCTGCACGCCTCTAGTCACTCACCAGTTAACTAAGGATAGTAGTAGTGTGTGGCACATAGTAAATATCCAGTAAATGTCAGCCATTGTTAGCTTTACATTACAAAGAGTAAATGCTAGAGCAAAAACAGATATAAAAACTCTCCTCAAGAGCCATTTCTGAACCAAGCTGAACTGCAAATGCATTTGTATAGCTGACTACTAAAAAGCATCACAACAATCAATCCATCGGGAACGGGAGGCTTTGTGTCAATGAAAATAATAAACCCCAAGCTCAGAGGCTCAGTGTTTGGATTTATTCACGTTCAGTGTTCTTATAATGATGCAAAATTACAGACCTCACCAAAATCTCCATAAATTCCCGTTTTCACCTTATTTATTAATTTTGAGCAGCTAATTCCCCTTGGCACATATCACACTGGAATACCCACGAGTATATGTGAGTTAGCAATTTATTTTGCTTCCTTGGTTGGTTAGCTGAAAAAGTGGCCCCACATAATGCATCCTAATCCCTGGAACCTTCAAATGTTAGTTACCCTAGTTGGAAATATTGATAGGTCTTATGGATGTGATTAAATAATGGATATTAAGATGATAGATTTCCCTGGCGCTATGGACTGAATTGTGCCTTCTCCCACCATCCACAAGTTTGCATGTTGAGGCCGTGGCTCCCATGTGGTTGTAATTAGAAATGGGGCCACTCAACAAACAAACTTCCTGGACTGGATAGCTTCACAAACGAACTTTACCAAATATTCAAAGAACTCACACTTATCCTTCTCAAACTATCCCCAAAAATCCAAGAGGAAGAGAATTCCAAGCTCATTTTATGAAGCCAGCATTATCCTAATTCCAAAACCAGATAAAGACACTACAAAGAAAATTACAACCTTCTAAGAACAATCTACATCTCTATTGCACAGGTGAAGGACATAAATCCAACATATCTTTGAACAACCTTAATGGATTATTGATGAACTAAGAAGCTGTTCTTTCTTAATTCATAGCAATGAATGATCATCAAGAAATACAACCATGGCTGCAGGATGGGGAAACCCCTTGACAAAATGAAAAATGAACTCTCTTAAAACCATACTGGAATCTTTATTTCCTTCTCTTACATTTACTCAGTGATGGCAGAAAAGACAGAAAAATGAAATAAATGAACAAGTAATTTGTTGCAAAGAATATCATGATATGAAAGCTATCAAGGAAGAAATCATATTAGAATTTTAATGTTTAATCAATATTTTTTAAATAAGTTCAGTACATGATAGATAGGTGCCATGTTCTCCTATGTAGTCCTCAACACTCACTTTTTAATTCTAGAATATCACTGAGGAACATTGGCATCGACCCAGGATATTTAGTTATTCCATAAAAAAATTTCAACATCATTATTATTATATATTCAAATATATTCATATATGTTCATATATATATTCATAGGATTGCATGGAGTGCTAGAAAAATGCGACAGACATTCAATGATACTGTTTATTTTTTCCTCTTTAAATTAAGCTTGGTACCTATTATAAAAATAAAATAAATTATGTAATGTCTTAAGACTTTGAAACAATATGAAATTTGGGTTGTGATACTGTTATACATTAGTAAACATATTTTTAAAAAAATCAAAATCTAGAGGTGTCTCCTAAGTTTGACATTCATAAACTGATATAGCCACAACCATTTATATGTCTCTCTCTCTAACCAGCTATAGCCACCATTCCTCATCACCAAGCTATAAGGAGATTTGTCACTTGGAAAGAACCTTCTTTACTATCCAGTTAGCTTCTGGATATTATGGTTTCTTTTCTCTGGGTACACGTAATTATGGGAAAGTTAATTTGATAATTGGTTGTTTTGTTTTTTTAAGACAATTAAAATATATTGATTTTTTACAGAGAGGAAGGGAGAGAGATAGAGAGCTAGAAACGTCAATGAGAGAGAAACATCGACCTGCTGCCTCTTGCACACCCCCTACCGGGGATGTGCCCGCAACCAAGGTACATGTCCTTGACCGGAATCAAACCTAGGACCTTTCAGTCCGCAGACCGACGCTCTACCATTGAGCCAAACCGGTTTCGGAGGTTTTTTTTGTTTGTTTGTTTTGTTTTTATTATTCTTGTTGAACCTCCATGTTCCTTTGAAATGTTTCCTAAGCCATCCATCAGTTCAATCAAAGAAGAATCAAAACAATGACTTGCTATTGTGGGAGCTAGATTTTTTCCCCCACTTTTTAGCTGGTTTCATGAACTTGAGATGCAGAGTCCACATCAATCAAAAGCTTTTTTGCTTCTTATATGAAAGTTCCTAGGTAATGTTTAGACTAAAAAAATTGAAATTTAACCTCAAATGTGTCTTGTAGAAATAAGCCTTTCATTGAATAAATAATTGATGAACACCTACTATGCCAGGCACTGTCCTAGACACCAGGGATCCAGCATAGAACAGTCATGCATGACACCTGTCATCTGGAGCTTAATTCTTATATAAAGACAGTCCTCTCATTTAAAGGTGGGACTCGTTAGTACCCAAAGGAAACACCAATACAATCCATAACCGCTGGGACTGCCACAGGGCAGAGGGAAACAGGGACACTCCTATACACAAATGCCTGAACTGGCAGCCAGCATTGACATTCAAGTTCATGGAGCTGCACTGCTAGGGCTGAGGCCCCACAGAATAGTTTAAAATGTATTTATTTTAAAAATAAAACGCATCCCAAATATATTTAAATGAGACAAAACACTAGGTATAAACTGCCTTAATGCTTAGCAATGTAAAGAGAGTTTAACTTTATGTAAAATAGTGATAAAAACAGACACAAACACTTCAATTCTTTGTGTACAATTCTGAGGATAAGCCATTTAGTACCTTCTAATCAGTGCCCAGTTGCAATTCTGTCGCATTTTTTATTTTTATTTTATTATTATTTTTTTATTTATTTTTATTTTTTATTTTTTTAATAAGTTTTTATTGTTCATATTATTACAAATATTCCTTTTTTCCCCCCCACCATTGCTCTCCTCCACCAGGTTCCCACCCCACCCTCTGCCCTTTCCCCTCTCCCCATTGACCTCATCCATAGGTGCACAGTTTATGTTCAGTCTCTCCCCACGCCCCCCTCTCCCCTTTTCCCCAAGAATCATCAGTTCACTCCCCTTCCATACCTCTGATTCTATTATATTCAACAGTTAATATGGTTCATCAGATTTTTTTAATTTCCTTGGTTTTTAGATTCACTTGTTGATAGTTACATATTTGTTGTTCATAATTTTTATCTTTGTTTACTTTCTCTTCTGAAAGAACCCTCTTCAGCAATTCATATAATTCTGGTTTGGCGGTGATGAACTCCTTTAGCTTTTTTTTATTAGTGAAGCTCTTTATCTGGCCTTCGATTCTGAGTGATAGTTTTGCTGGGTAGATTATTTTTGGCTGTAGGTTCTTGCTATTCATCACCTTGAATATTTCTTGCCATTCCCTTCTGGCCTGAATGGTTTCTGTTGAGAAGTCAGCTGACAATCGTATAGGTGCTCCTTTATAGGTTACTACCTTCTTTGCTCTTGCTTCTTTTAATATTCTCTCTTTGTCTTTTGCTCTTGGAATTTTAATAATGATGTGTCTCGGTGTGGTCCTCTTTGGATTCCTTTTGTTTGGAGTTCTGTGCGCTTCCTGGACTTGTAAGTCTAATTCTTTCACCAGGTGGGGGAAGTTTTCTGTCACTATTTCTTTCAGTATGTTTTCGATATCTTGCTCTCTCTCATCTTCTGGGACCCCCATAATTCTGAAGTTGGTTCGCTTGAAGTTGTCCCAGAGGTTTCTTACATTATCTTCAATTTTCTGGATTCTCTTGCCTTCTAGCTTCTGTGGAGGAGTGTCTTCTGGCTCTTTATGTTCCAAATCTTTGACTTGATTCTTGCGATCTTCCCTTCTGTTTTTAGGCCTCTGTAAAATATTTTTTATTTCAGACAATGTATTCTTTATTTCTTGTTGATCCATTATCATTTCTTGTTGACTCCTTATTAATTCTAGTTGATCTCTTTTCATATCCTCATAGGCCTTATCCATCTTTTCTAGGAAATTCTTGAAAAACCTTATAAGCGTAGATTTGAACTCTATATCCAGTTTGCTTTTTGTCCTCCATTTCTTTCGTTTGTGATCTATTTTGTTGTCGCATTTCGCAGTTACAGATGGGACGGGGTTTCAGAGTGGAGCCTGCAGCTTTGGCTTCCGTCAGCCCCGCCCTATGCGGGTCCTTCAGTGCTCGCTGCCAGCGCCTCTGAGAGAAAGGTGCCCTCAATTTTCGCCTGCTGCCAAACCGGCTATGCTCTCCCACAATGAGCCCGGTATTGGGGTTCAGTTCAGTTGGAAGTGGAGTTGGAGGTGGCGTTCAGAGCAGTCTGGAGCCCCAGTCTCCTTCCCGTCAGGGCAATCCCGCAGCACAGCCGACTGTCCCTTCTCTGTGTGCAGTGTGCGTGCCGCCGGGACCTCCTTTCGCCTCTCCCCGGGGTTCCGCCTTACAGCCCGGCTCCCTATGGCTGAGCCTGAGTCCCTGGGGTCTGGCCTAGAACTGGGGTTCAGAGCAGTCGGGGGCCCAGCACAGTCGGAGTTTTATCTTCTTTCCGCTAGGGAACGCCCGCCAGGCACTCCGCCTCCCTCCTCTCCGGCTCCGTCCTCTCCGCGCGCCGCGTCTCCGTACCTTGGGTTTTTCCAGCTCCTCCGCACCTCCTTCTGGTTTTCTCCTTGCTTCTTGCTGTAGAATTTCCAGTCAGTCAACCTTCCTGTAGTTCTGGGCAATGTCCGTTTTATATTTTAGTTGTATTTTATTGAAATTGTTGTGTGCGGCTGCGGCTAGGTGTTCACCTGGGCGCAGCCATCTTGGATCTCCTCCCTGTAGCATTTTTTAAATGGCAGAGATTTGTATTTAGATTTCCATTTTATTTGAGGAGATTGCTAACTTTATGTATTTTTGAACTGAAAACAGCCTTCTGGTTTTATGATTATAAAAATAAATGTTCATATATTGCTTTGGTAACACATAATTTATGCAATGCTTAAAAGTGTGAAGAACATGAAATATAAGCACTAAAAATTCTGCCCTCCTTACTAATGTCATTATTTATTGAGTGTTCACTGTGCCAGACACTGCAGTAAGTGATTTATGTGTACTCTTTCATTTCTGTACAAGGATCCTGATGCTACCAGTTATATGGTATCCACTACTGTGACCTCAATGTTGCTAATAGGGAAAGAGAGGCTGAGGGAAGCGAAGGTCTGCACAAACTGTAAAACTGGCAACATCGGGGTCCTGGATAGAATTCAGAGGGCAACCCTGGATTTTTCTTTTCACTGGCCTCTAACTGACATTTGGCATTTCTTCATTATAAACGTGAGCAGTGACCTACATTGGTATTAGCAGCACCTTCGATACTTTAGTTAACATAAATCACATATATGTGCATGTCACCTTACAATTGCAGCAGATCTCTCCAATATTGCTTACACTCCATCACTGCTTCAAAATGATGGTACTTATTAGATGTGATTCTACATCTTGTGACTTGATATAGTACTCTATCATCAAATTGTAAAATACTGTGATTATTTTAATCGGCTGGCTTTATTTGCTATGTATTCTATTTTAGACATTTAAAAACTCTGTGAGGGATCGCTAGGCTTCCCCAGACTGCCAGGGGGTCCTCCAGCACAAAACAGCCAGGGAGCCCTCGGTAGGCAGGGAGCAGAAACTCACACCCAGGTGGTCTGACTTCGGGGTGTGGGCTGGGGCTTGAGACAACTCTGCCACCCTGCCTGTGGACTTGGGTTCGCGTTTTGGTGAATATACTTTCAGATTTGTCTCCAATTTGTAGGGAATTAATTAAGTGGTGACAAACTCAGGGAAAAATCCAGGACACATTGTTAAGAACAGAACCTTTTCCACTTCTTCAGACTCCCAGACAGGCAGGAGGACAATGAGGCTTGTCATTATCCGAGGGAGCAGCTCAAGGCAACCAAGGTATTGTGCCCCCGGGAGTGGAACAGGTCACAGGCCAAGCTGACCTACAAGTGTAAACATATCAGAGACATTCTCAAACAGAAAGAACCCAGAGATAGGACTCTTGTGGGCACTTTTGGAGAAAAAAGCACCCAAATTGCTTAATGATAAAATCCAGTCATTCATTAGAGCAAATAACTGAGTGCAATGCTCAATTAAAACAAAACACAGTAGCTATAAAATTCCGAGAAAAAGAGAACAAAATCTAGGAAAATTATCCTTTGAATACAAATATAAGAAATGTTTTCAAGAAGCAAAGACATGGAATATATACCCACTATGAACACCTCCTGGAAGATCCAGACACTCCTGGATGTCACTCCTGCAGTGATTCTAAAGGCTCCCTTCTTCAAGACACTTAATCACCATCTGCTGGAAAATATTCTCTGTCAATGGGCAAATGGCGCTGTAGGCAGCCTGTACAACCACCCATGGAAGCCCTACGTCCTGACAATACCAGCCAACTGAAAATAAACCAAAACAAGGAATTCAGAAAAGACGAGCCTGCATTTCAGAGACGGGTGGTTTAGCAAATGCAGTAAGTATGGAAATGTGGCTTAAAGACCACAGCAATTACATTGATGGAAATTAACTATTAAAAATGGATAATATGAAAACATACACCAGAAACCAGGAAGTGAGGGAGAAACAGTATTATCTTCTGTAGAAAGTAGTGAATAAAAACTCTCAGTACTTTAAGGACAGAGTTGAAAAAGCCTCCCATTCAGAGAAGCCTCTGGAGATATGTAGAGTGATGGCTCTACTTCAGCCTTTAATGTTTGATCCAACCTTTGCTCTTTATCTTTAGCAAACTGATGCTCTGATTTCTGTGAGGTCGGGCCATTTGTGCTCTGGTCCAAAGTAGGGGGATCCATACAGTCTGCTGACAAAATTAGGAGCCTGAGTGTGCAGGAGGGGGCCAGACTGTGCACCTTGGTGACGAACACAGCCAGTGCATTCTCCTGGTTTTTCAGATAGCTGGTTTTCCCCGGCCACAAGCCAGTCCAACCACAAGCATTCCATTAGAAACATCTGCAACACCTCTCTCTCATTTCTTTTTTCCTCACAGCTTGTCCTGAGGATGTGATTCCAAAAGACCTGTTTGATGTTGCATTTATGAACAGATTCACATAGAAGGAATTTTGGCTTCTGGCTAGAATTCTAGACTTGCCTCAAAATGTGTCCCCAACTTCTCTAATCCTTTCAAAATAGCTGGCAAATAGGAATTGCTATTGTGGCAGAGGCTGGCGATTTTGCTCACTAAATCTATTTTTTTTTTTTTTTCTTTCTGCACAAATAGCTTGACTACATTTCCCAACCTTCCTTCAATTAGGTGTGGCCCTATGACTGAGCTCTGGCCAACAGAATGGGGTGGAGGTTATGGACACCAGTCTAGACCCAGCCAACACAGCCTCCAGGTTGTGTCATGGACAGCAGGGGGAGGACGCCCAGGGCCTGGCCATTTTTTTTTTTTTTAAAGGGCCAGGTAGTTTAGGCGTGTGGGATCTCCATCACAACTATTCAGTGCAGATGTTGTAGGGCAGTGGTTGGCAAACTCATTAGTCAACAGAGCCAAATATCAACAGTACAACGATTGAAATTTCTTTTGAGAGCCAAATTTTTTAAACTTAAACTTCTTCTAAGGCCACTTCTTCAAAATAGACTCGGCAAGGCTGTGGTATTTTGTGGAAGAGCCACACTCAAGGGGCCAAAGAGCCGCATGTGGTTTGCGAGCTGCAGTTTGCCGACCACAGTGAATAACATTTGTGGATAACATATAAAGAAGTAGGCATGGCTGTGCTCCAATAAAACAGGGGCTGGCTCCCAGGCGTAGTGTGCTGATCCCCGCTTAGAGGACGGCAGAGTTGCACAGTGGAAAGAGCCTGGGTTCCTGAGTGGCTTTGTGGGAAGTGTTCCCTCCCCCCTGTAGAAGCTAGTAACACTTACCCTACCTCGTTCAGCAAGATGGAAACTTCCCATGACACTGCACTGAGTTCTCAGGCAGGGGAAGCCAAGTCCAACCTTTCACTGCTCTATTGCCTTGATATTTCAGGTGAAATGCTTTGGGCCCTCGGTGAGACCAGTTTCCCTGATTCTTTACTCATTGGTGACAGTTTAAAAAATAAGAAAAGAGTCATAAAAGCTAAGTATTATTCTAAAAAATCACCCATTTATAATTGCATTTAGGAACCAGGAACTGAAAATTCATAGCCTTTCAAGATGCCATTCTTACAAAAAGAAATACGAAAGGCTACTCAGGAGAGGACTTTTCTAAATGAGATGTGTCGAGTTGCTTTTATGCACATCAGCTGCCACAGGCAGAGGCCGCCCGCCCTGGCTTTTCGAGCGCAGTCCTGTTACTGAACTCACTCACTGCCACAGAGGACCCACTGGGTGGCCTGGCTCCAGTGCCTAATCCACGGCTAATGAAAGGGTCCACGTATAATGCAATCTCTGCCAACGCTCTGACATGGGCGCTCAGATGGTAAGGATGCTTCAGATTGCTGGTCTATTCACATAGCAGTGGTTTGGCATCTCACCCTTCGCACTAATCTACCTTGGTGTTCTTGTCATCTTTATTTATAGAGTTAAGCCCCAAAACAGTACCTGGCACATAGCAGGCATAGAATAAATATTTCCTGGATGAAGATCTTTTAAATTTAGTGCATACTAATGTCTTATTAAATTAGTTCCACGTCCAGAGTTACTAAACCTTTTTTGCCAAGTCTCATAAGAACAAGAACACCACCACCAGTCAACACCAGTAAGAGAGACAGGCACACGTGGGATGTAATTTTCAGTGGCCGGCAGAGAGGGTGAGGGTGGGACCGGAGCTCCACACCTGTCCTCACCAGATGTAATCTGATTGCCGGAATAGGCAGCTGGCAATGTCAGACCCTTGCTAATTCTTGGTCAAAAGTAACCAGCAGCAATCATAAAAAAATTTTATCTGGTATAAAGATGAGATTAAAACATGCGACATGCTTTCTAATGAACTCATTCAGATGAAATTCGTTTTTTTAAAAAAATTGCATGAATCATGTTATCCAGAGTAGTTGAAATAGCCTTCGTGGACAAATAATTTTGAAATCTTTCTCTTTTAAAAAGAAATACTGAACATATGGATATTAGAAACATTTTTCTGATACATGAGGATAAGTTTGATGGAGCCCTTATTTCCCTAACATATTACTGTCTGTGGCTTCCTGCTGTTCAGTGTGGGGAACCATAGAAACCAATGGCCTATATGGTGTTTGAAGGGACTTGAACTTACAATGTTCATTTCCCCCCCTTCTATTAATTTCTTGTTTATTTTGATACAGCTATAAGAATAATCTCTTCTTATGAAGTTTCGTTCAATTTTAACTATTACAGCAATTCTGTGGTGATATTAAGCCTTGAAAAGGTCACAGCAAAAATGTGTGAAGCCTATTCTTTATTAAAGGGGATATCACATATATTCAGGATTGGCTACTATTTTTTCCTGAAGAATGACCAGCACACAAATGCATATCATGCAATAACTTATTTTAACAACCCTTGAATGTTTTGTATTTATGGCTATGAACTAAAAATTATAAGCAACGAAGGAATCAAGGAATTCAGTTGAAAATGACTGACAACATGCTTTCTAAATTCTCATGCTTAAACACCCCCCCTTTTTTTCTTTTGCCTTTTCAAACAAAGAATAAGAGAAAACTTACACAAAATTATTAAAAGCTACATCTAGTTACAAAATCTTAAAATAAGATTTATATCCTAAATCTGGGGACAGAGATGTCTAACTCTGACTACACATTTAATCAGAGAAATGCATCACTCTTGATCACCATTTATAAACTTCAGAATCCCTTCCAATTCTCCAAAAGGCAAGACTCATCACCTTGAAGTTTGGAGAGAGTAAAAAAACTGGTCCAAATTACTTAAAGGGTTATCAGAAACCATGATTCAAATCTAGGATCCTTTGACTTTGCAGTCACACTTTTTTTTTTTTTGCCTCACCATATTGTTTGAGTTCATACTTCACACTGTAGATACTGAAGTAATCCTCCCACCCAATTCATTTTCTACCCATGTAACTTAGTGGGTTTTTTGTGTTTTTTTTTTTGAGGAGGGATGTTTGTTTGTTAAAGTCACAACTACTTTAAAAATCATTTGGGAAATCAGCAGAGCACACCATCTGTAGGTGGAGCATGTGTTCATTGCTCAGATGTGGTAGGCAGAGTAACAGCCCCCAAAAGATGGTCACATCCGAATCCCTGGAACCTGTATTTTATTTTACTTAGTAAAAGGGACCTCGAAGATGTGATTAGGGGTTTTGAGATGGGGAGATTATTCTGAACTACCTGCGTGGCCAGTCACACAAGAGAAGCAGGAATGGCAGAGTCGGATTGGAAGATAATAGTCGGATGGCTTTCAAGACAGAGGAGGGGGCCAGGTGCCAAGGAGTGCAGCAGCCTCCAGACGTTGGAAAGGCAAGGAAACAGACTTCCTCTGGAGCCTCCAGAAGCTGCACAGCTCTGCTGGCACTTGATTTTACTTCAGTGAGATTTCTGACCTCAGAATTGGGAGGTAATAAGTTTGTCTTGTTTTAAGCCACCAGCTATGGGGTAATTTTGTTACAGCAGCCAATGGAAACTAATACCTTTTCCATTTCAAAAGTGCTTGTGCAATTAATTTAAGATGAGAGAGTTTATAACTGGTCAAGCTCTGACCTTGAAAAGCCAACACACCATCAAACTGGAAAGCTTCCATGTCAATCTCGGCCCTGGCTCGGTGGTTCAGTTGGTTGGAGTGTTATGCCATACACCAAAAAGGTTGGGTGGTCGATTCCCAGTCAGGCTACTTACCTAGGTTTTGGCTTTAATCACCGGTGGGGTTATGTACGAGGAGGCAACTGACCTATATTTCTCTCATATCAATGTCTCTCTCTCTTTCTGAAATAAAAGTAAAATATCCTTGGGTGAGGATTTTTAAACATCTCTTCCTGCGTTTGAGTTTGAGAGGTCACTGAAGCCCACTAAAGTTTTTCCCCCCTCTATCATTTCCTTGGATTGCTATAGATTTACTGTTCTGGATTTGATTGTGTGGTCAGGTAATAACAGAAATAAATAACCACTTCTTGAAAGTCTTGTAAAAAGCGTTCACAGGAACACGACCCAATGCAGATAGTCTATTTCAGAAGCGGGTCATTTGCTTTCCGGGACGCGGGCTTTATTGCCCCGTCAGCATGGCAGCCAGCACAACAGGCAGAGAAGCGGCAGACAGTGGACTGATGGAGGCAGGGGGAGGGAATGGATTTTTTTCCAAGGGTGGAAAGTGAGAAAAGGCAAATAATCAATGTTGCGCAGGAGAGCTTCCTTTAATCAACGAGTTCTGCCTGGGCAAGCAGCATCCTTTCAAAAGCCACAGATATTTATGACCAGACCAGGAGGTAGTTTGCAGTGAAGACATCGTGATTAAGTGAAAGAAGAAACTGTAACTGCAGAATGTAATTAAACCAAATGGGATCTCAGAGGTCACTGGTCCAGCTCAGCACCGGAGTGCAAGGCCCCTCACCTCGTCCCTCTCACATTCTCCTCCAGCTCCTCTAGCGAGCGGAACTCCTGCCCCTTGATTGCTAGCAAGGTTCCTTTCTATTCAGCTGTAATCTTATGGCCTTCACCCTGTGGTGCTAGTCCTACCTGCCTGCAGCCACATGAGAAAATCTGAGTCAGCGGCTCTCAATTCTGGCTGCAGGGGAGCCTTTCAAAGTCTGGGTTTTAGAGCTACCCCTCAGACCGCTTCAGTGGGCATCAGGGAGAGTGGGACCCAAGCATCAGCACTTTTTAAATTCTTCACGGGATCCCCATGTGCAGCCAACATTGAGGGCTCCTGGCTTAATTCCACACAAGGCTCTGTGGATGGTTAAAGATGCCCTCGCTAGAACGGAACCCTGTCTTCCTCAGGCTGTGGCTTTCAACCATCCCTTAGAGCAGGCATCTCGAGGCAATAGCGTCGTTACTGGCCAGGCAGCTCCGGAAACCACCAGGGAGACGTGGTGGCCCAGAGTCTGTGGTCTGAGGGACTTGGTTCCTTTCATGTTTTTAAAAGCATAATCAGATAAATAAATTGGACTTCATCGAAATTAAAAACGTCTGTGCTCCCAAGGCCACTAAAAAGAAACCGAAAAGACAGCCACAGAGTGAGAGAAAATATCTGCAAACTATATATCTGATAAAAGTCTAGTGTCCAGCTTGTATAAAAAATATTATATTATAACTCAATTGTAAAAAGACAAATGACCCAATTCAAACTTAGCAAAGAATTTAAATAGACCTTTCTCCAAAGAAGATATATAAAAATATAACTACGTTTTCCCACTGCTACAAACACACACACACACACACACACACACACACACACACACACCCCATCATATGACATCACCATTTAAAAATGTTTCAAAATTTTCCAAGATTTTCGCACTGACCGGAAATTTCTCTTATAGATCAAAGTAGGTACCTCCAACAGGTGTTATTTAAAATCACTTTTCTGAGATGGCCCATCTGGCTGTGGTGGGAATCTGCAAGCCACTCAGAACCGCTCTTCTGCCCAGCTCGGAGGAGCCTCCCATCTGGGAAGCAAGCCCAAGGCCAATTTCTGAGGTAGCAAGGTGAGCACTGGAGAAAATGAACCGTTTTCCCAAACAATTACTATCAGACTACAAATCCAAACATTGCTCGAAAGACTCCTTTAGAACTTGTTTAAGCAAAATAAAGGTATTTTTTTTTAATTTTAGATTTAAATGGAGTATTTAACTTATTTCTTGGCAGACATCAAATCCTATTGTTCATAAAACAATTAGGGAAATAAGTGGTGTGGTATCAACTGGAAGGACAATGAGATTGAAGGGAAAAGAGAAACAGAATGTGTCTTAATATTGGCTGCTGTAATAGTAAAAGGGCTTTGTAAATACTGTCTGCATTGAAACAAACAAATTATGAGATTTATTTTAAAAACAATGAAACAATGGATGTCAACAAAGATTGAGCACAAGCTCATTCTACTTGTTTAGATAAGCTAAAGAGATACCATCTGATTTTAATAATTAGGGATTGTTATATCTGTGTTTCTCAATTTTTAGCAATGTATGAAGACATTTTTTATCATCTTTACTGAGGATGAAGGTGGTCAAGGCCAGGGATGCCACTTAACATCCTACAATTCATAGGACAGACCCCCTCCACCTAATAGAAAATTGTCTGGTCTGAAATATCAGTAGCACCATGGTTGAAAAACCCTGGGATAAATAAATTGAAGTATGCTCATATGTTGACTGTATCAATGTTAATATTCTCATATTGTACTATAGTTTTGTAATATGTTACTAGTGCAAAGGGTAAATGGGACCTCTCTGTGTTATTTCTTAAAACGACACATGAATCAACTATTATCTTGAAAGTTTAATTTTAATAAAGATACTAGGAATCAATTTTAACTAGGAAAAAACATCTATTGTGTTTTGCCTTAAGGAAATTTATCTTTTAAGTAGTAAAGAAATGTATGTGTATAGCAAAAAAAAATTTTTTTAAAATGTTGCTTTAAGAAATAAAAACATCTATTACACCTCGACATTGGTGCTACAAGAATTTGATTTCCAGATAACACAGCCTCCCTTATGATAGCCTGGTGAGGGTTACTAATGGTTTCCTCTTTAGCAACATTACTTATCCCAGCTCAATAGCAACATACAAGTGACGGGAGAAGATGGGGTGCAGAGAATCAGACTTCACCTGGCTCCTTGGCTGTTTTTGGTTGTCCGTGTGGTAAGCCCCAGGTCTACCCAGAATTCAGTGGAAGTATAAGGAGCCATACATTTAAATGGAAATGAGCACTTTCCAGCCACGTCTCTCAGGTATTTGTTTTTGAATTCAGAAAGCCTGGGCCTCACAGGGGAGCCAGTTAGCAATGCAGACCCACTGAAACATGTCCCATAATGAACCCAGATTTCCAAACTCTCCTACTGATTCTGTGGCTCAGAGGCGTGGCCCCCAAATCTGCATTTTTAGCGAATGCCCCTGGTGCACCAGGTTTTCAGGAACACTGCTGTAGGGGTCACTGGGTGCTGGGCTGGCTCTGAACTGCCCAAGAAGTGACCGGGGTCCTCAAGTGGAGCGATAGACTTTAGTCATCTTTCCCAAGGGCCATTAAAGGGTTTTCTTCTAGCGCCAGAGTGTATAAAGGCAATGGAAGGAAACCTGGCTGAGAACTGAATTCACGCATCAGGAATGGACGGGATGTGGCTGCTGAGCTGCGGAGAGGAGAAGAAACCTGGCGGTCGCTGCACTGCGCAGAGGAGACCGCAGCCAGGTGGTCCCAGCCTGAGGGAAAATAACGGGGTGCGTATGGAGGGGGATGGTGAGGGGAGCTGGACCTCCCTGCACTGTGGATGGGAACAGCATGAGAAGGGCATGTGACTTCACCTTTTAACCCTTAGGGAACACAGACTGCACTATCCAGGAAAAAATAATGTATAAGCAAGGTATAAACATTGTCCAGTCTCAGTTCCTTGAAACTGTCATTTTTGCCACCACCCTGAGCACAGGGTCCATTGTATTCCTGACTACGCCATAGCAACTTTCCCCACCTCTTTTCCACCCTTGCCTGCCCTTCTCAGCCTGTTTCTTGGCTAAGACTTTGGTTTATCTCAGTAATATTACTGACTAGATGCCCGCTGCACAAAGATTCGTGCAAGAGGCCTTCCTTCCCCTGGCTGCTGGCACCGGCTTTCCTCTGGCATCTGGGACCCAGGCCTTTGCTCTGGCCACCGCCTTCCATCTTTGTTCTGGCAGGAGCCTTCAGTCTTCACTCTGGCCAGAGCCTTCAGTCTTCTCTGCTCTGGCTGGAGTGTGGCTCCTATAGCTCCCTCCGCCCCTATCCTCCCTCTCATAGCGGGTGTCCCGCCCTGCCCAGCCACTCTGTGCCTGTGTATGCAAATTAACCCGCCATCTTTAGTGGGTTAATTTGCATACCTATTCCTGATTGGCTGGTGGATGTTGCAGAGGTATGGCCAATTTTCATATTTCTGTTTTATTAATGTAGATTATTCACTTCAGCTGCTTGGTCTCTGGTCCTCTCAAGTACATACTCTTCCCATATCAGCATTTCTCCCAGAACCTCCAAGACCAGTTTGACCTGGATGAAAATGCCCTGCCCACCAAGAAGTCCCCATCAGCTGGTCACACCATTGTGCTGGTGATGTTAACTATAAAACCACTGGGGAAGCACGTGGCTAGCAGTGGCCATAACAGCTTTTCTCATCTGCTTCTTCCTTTGCCTGTACTAATTTGGTCTTATCTGTTTGGATATTCCATACTTGTCCTTTGTCACACTGGACACAGTCCCCATTGACCCTTATCTTGCAGGCCTAGTTAAAGAATGACAAGCAGGTCTTTCCTCATAATTCAATCAATTGTTAACAGTTGCAGGAGTGTAGCATTTGAAGTATAACATGTGACTGTCCTGTGCCTCCCAAGTAGTCATGCCTGCCTTGGGTTAGGGTGGGGTAATCTTCAAAAAGACTACCATCTTGGGGAACAGAAACTGAAGGAACTGTGTTTTTTGCTCAGTGCCTTTGGCACAAGGGATTTTGTGGTTCTAGTTTGGAGACTGCACAAATCTTCCTAGTTTTAGGCTGAACAAAGAGTCCCCTAGTGGTGAAAGCCCTTTCCTCTGGTGGTTTCTTATCTTTCACTATCAATTGCCTGTCCTTACTGGTCTCTAATGATAAAGCATTGCCTCTGTCTCATAGTTGAAATGGAAACACCCAGATCGCAGAGATTAGCACACAGTTTCATTGCCATCTTCCTACACCAACCAGGGCACTCCACAGTAGGAGGGGAGTCCTACCCGTATGCCCAGGAAGGTTAATTCCCTACCAGGTGTCTTCTCAGGGCAGCCCTGATTCAGCTTACCTTGTAGTGGAAGAGAAACAGCCCACAGAACAGGCTGTACAGATCTGCCGTGAGCAGCGAGAGGTTGACCGAAGTGGCGCTGGTTTTCTTTATGACGATCGGCATGAAGCTGTAGAGGCCAAACATGCAGGCGCTGAAGCCGACGTAGAGCAGGCCTGGGGGAGAGAAAGACAGGCAGCACTCAGCCCCCTCCCCAGCCGCTTGGCGCCCACCGTGGGCGAGAGGAGGGAACCCGCACACCACTGATCCTTCCCAAAGGGAGTTGTCTTTCACTCCGTTTACTGGTGTTTCGGATTGGTGAATACACAGCTAAAACATGCGAAGTAAGAAAAGACACTTTCTGCTTCCCACTACGTAGCTGATATTTTGCACCTTTTAGTAAGGACTGATACCATCAGAACACGGGGTCAAGGCTTCTGGATTCTATTCTCAGTTGTGTGGTTCTTAACTTCTATCTGTCTCTGTTAAAACTCTGTCATCTTCTAGTTTTTTTTTTTGTTGTTGTTGTTGTTTGTTTTTGTTTTTTCAAATAGGAACAAAACTGCTTGGTATCATGCATTATCCACAATGACAAATAATGACATCGTCCTTAACGTTGAAGGGCTTACCTGTCAGAGATTGGGATCTAAGTCAGAGAACTGAAATGGAATCCTAACTGCATGATCCTCGGAAGACAAGGTCATTGCTCTTAGCACAGATAACCTTCCAGATTTGTGAGTCCTGCCCAGTCACATCGCCAGCACCCAGAGACCTATTTCTTCATCACCTTTCCCAGCATGCCGTGGGCCCTCACATGTAAGTACTGTTTTATACATAAATAGGTAAATGCGTTGCAAACCATCAAAGAACTAAGTTGTCTAACAGAGAAAGACAAAGCATGCCCTCAAAATGCTATATGGTCATCCAGTCTCTCATCCTCTAAATCAATCTTTCTCTCTCTCTCTAACTAGATACACAACTGTTAATACTAATTCCATAAGCACACAATTTTGTTGGGTCTCAAGCAGAAGTTTATAACTAAATCTAGAGTTTGGTGGGGTTTTTTTGTGTGTAGATGTTTATACCACATAAATGTAGAAAAATAATTCTCATTTCTCTACATTGAAAGAATAAGGCATAGAATAAGCATAAGTAATACAAGCCAGTGGACTTTGTAATACAGTAAAAGTAACCAGCTTTTTCCAAGGAACCCTTACTCTGTAACGTCTGTGGTTGGGCCTTGGGCAGATGGCCTCCTTGAATCCTGGGCACTTTGGGGGATTTGACTATGAAAACCAGTGACTTCCCCAAAGAGAAGTTTGTTTTTCCCTATGAAAAATGCAGGGCATCCCCCAAAATGTACATACACTTTAACAGCTGAGCGCTCAATTCTAAAAATGAATTGTGTTTTAATAAGCACTGCCTTTATAATTATTTAAAGTGTGTGTAGACATTTTTGGGGACACTCTATATTTAAGGACACAAATAATCATGCTACACATTTCTGAGCCTACATTGAAGGAAAGCCACATCAAACCTATATACAAAGGTAGTCTGAACAATAAGCAAACTCAGTGCAACAGCCCCCTCTAGTGTGGCCGGAGTGCCCCGGGAGGACAGGGGATCACCCTTCCCTATTCGGTCAAGGGCAAGTCCTCTGGGCTATTCTGTCATTGCACTAACGGAGAACGGCTTTCCAGTCTCAGCAGAAATCTTCATTGCCTAAAAGAGGTCAATTTTCTTGTGCTTGGGTTTCATGCGACCTATTATTCACCTGCCTTTTAAGCAAGTTACTAAAAACTCAACACTGAAGAACCTCCGATCAATCCATGAGGAGACAAAAATTAATTCCATATCCCTTTAAGGAATCTGAGGCTAAGGGTGAGATCTAGCCTAAATCTATTCACTGGAAATAATCAAACTTAACTTGAACAGAGTCCAGCCCGCCTGCCCCCCCCCCCCACCACCTCCTGACACACACACACACACACACACACACACACACACACACACACTTTTTAAGGCTAGAAAGTTTCCGAATCCTACTCTTCCACTACATTACCTAGCACACCATGGATGCTCACAAGTTGGCTCTGACGTTTTCCATTCACTCAGTTATTCAACCATTTCTTCATGAAATGCCTGGTATGCCCTGGGCGCTGTTGGGGGCGAGCAGTGAAATGGAAACGGGGTAGACAAGAGGCCTCAAGTTGTTGCTAGGGCCAAGAAGAAAGAAAGGGGCTCCTTCCAGGGCATGCCAGGGGCTTGCCTTGGGCGGGGTGATGAGGGAAGGCTGCTCTGTGGAGGTGGCATTCACCTTGATGGCTGGAGGATTGAAAGAGCTGCCAGGGGAGGAACCAGGGGAGGAGGGTTCTAGGCAGGGAGCTCTGCAAAGGAAAACACCCTCAGAAGGGCCAGGGCCAGATGTGTTCCAGCAGCTGTCAGAGGACAGATGTCTGAGCAGAAGGAACAGAATAGGTAGTGATAAGAGCTGAGGTCAGAAAATCAGGCAAGGGATGAATTCTGCCGGGCCTTGTACATCTTGGAAAGAAATCTTATTCTCATTGTAATAAGAAGCCTTTAGGAGTTGGTAGCAAGTGGCTGATCTCGGATCTAAACTTTTAGAAGGTGACTGGCTACTGTGCAGAGAAGGGATTGGAAGGAGGAAAGCATACGAGGAGACCAGCAAGGAGCGTAGTGTCAGAGTCCAAGCAGGAGATGCTGGTGGCTTTGCTGGGAATGGTTGTGGAGATGAGGGGAAGTGGCAGGTCTGTGAAGACTCAGCAAGTCCTGGTGATAAACTGGATGTCGGTATCGAGGGGAAGGAGGGGCCTCAAGGATACCCTTGGGTTCCAGCAAATTTATAAACTGGGTGAATTGTGATGCCGTTTACTGAGATGAAGAGAAATGAGGGATTGCCAGGTTTTCAGGGAAAATGGAAAGTTCCATTTGGAACGTGTTAAGTTGTAAATGCTTATGCATCCTCCTAGAGGATTTGTGCAGTAGGAAGCGACATTGTAATTGGCAGGCTCAGAGGCGAGGTGTGACTTTACAAGCATACTTGGTGAGCCAAGGAGTGTAGGAAACCAGACACACAGTAGAGCTTACCCTATTCATCAGCTTTAAGATTCTAAATGTAGTTTTAAAAATACATTTTATTGATTTTTTTACAGAAAGGAAGGGAGAGGGATAGAGAGCTAGAAATATTGATGAGAGAGAAACATCGACCAGCTGCCTCCTGCATATCCCCTACTGGGGATGTGCCCATAACCAATGTACATGCCCTTGACTGGAATCAAACCTGGGACCTTTCAGTCCGCAGACCAATGGTCTATCCACTGAGCCAAACCGGTTTCGGCTAAATGTATTTTTAAAGACTGTAGAAATTATATGAAGGGGAATGGGTGTGGGATGTATGCGCCATCACACTCACTCACTTTGCTAGTGTTTTCGTGTGTGAATATCCTGTTTCATGAGCAAAGCATACACTGAGTGGCCTGATTATTCTGATCTCTGAATGCATAATAATCTGGCCACTCTGTGTGTGTGTGTGTGTGTGTGTGTGTGTGTGTGTGTGTGTGTATTTTAGAGGCCCAGTGCATGAATCCATGCATGGGTGGGGTCTGGCCAGCCTGGTCAGGGGGAGGGGACATGGCCGTTGGCTGGCCTGCCTGCCTGCTGGTCGAACTCCTGGGGACAATTTGCATATTAGCCTTTTATTACATAGGATATACATTGAGTGGCCAGATTATTATGTGTTCAGAGATCGTAATAATCTAGCCACTCAGTATAGCTAGCACAGTGAACACGGGACTGAATGGCAGGACTGCTGCAGTGTGCTGATTTGCTGTTCTTAGACGGACATTAGCTTGTTAGTGGACATTAGCAATGCATCTAAAGGCCCAACTTGCTGTCCAGGCAGGGTTTTCAAAAAATCGATCAACTTGATGGAATAAATGAACTGCTTTGACTTTTGACTGACAACTACATAATAGCTGCAATAACACATTTATAGACAGGGTATGTGTACAACCATTTCTTAATTGAAATGTTTTCTTTCTCACTGAAAATAGCATTCATTCACACTTGTCCTCATGCACCAAGAGGCTTAAGCTAAAGAGACTGGAAAAGAATACTGTCAGCTGACACTAATTGAGGGCTTGCTAGGTGTCACGTACTTTAAATACGTCAATCAATTAATCCGCACAACAGTATAACACCATGACTAGTGTTACTCTCCTTATACAGATAAGAAAATGAGCTTATAGAGTGTATCAGTCAAGAACCACAGCCCATACCAGGTTCAATAGAGGAAATTTAGTATGGGACACAGTTACAAAGGCATTTGAATGGATGAGCAGGGAAACGGGAATGGTGAGGCCATGCAGAGACTAGCATTAGCAGTTAGCAACAGCCTGGAACTAGAATGATCCAGTGAGGAGTCCCAGCAGCTGCTGTGCCATCTCCCGGCTCCCCCGAAAGTAAGTGCCACACCAAGCCTGAAGTCTCCTGCCACCTCTTGTCATTCATTCATTCTCTTACTTAGTAAATATTCATTCACTGAATATGTGCCTAGAATGGAGCTACAGTAGGTCAAGACGAGGTAAGAAGGACATAAGTGACCTTGAGGAAAAAAACAAAAAACAAAAAAATCAAACCCTCAAACCCAACTCCATCATCACTTCAGAAGAAAAGGGCGAATATTTGATTGCCTTTCTAGACCGTTGTGGCCTCATTTCCCATCAGGAATTAAACAAACGGCTCCGTAATGCGTTCCTTTTACACGGCCCTTCATCATTTCCAACTGCAGGGACTGACGTTTCAATGGTGATGCGAGAGCTCAGAACAAAACTGCCTTTCGATGGCACATTTAACTAACACCGAGTCATAACAGAACCTCGGTAGATGAGCACATGCAGTCCACATAATCAGAGGAGAGATTATTTTTTAATTATTACTAGGACTATTAATATAAAATAAATTCGCACTCACAGACCACTGCAGGGAAGCGTCCCCAAGCAGAAATAGTTTGTTTCCTGGCACTGAGAGTCACAAAGGCAAACACGTGTGTAACCTGCCTCTGGTTTCCTGGCCCAGGGGCCCTCCCCACCCCGCCCCCACCTCCTCCTCTCTATTGATTTCCATTTCATTGGGACATTCTACAGCAAAACTCAAGAGAAAGCAAGTGGCAGGACTCTGTGACAGCCACAAGGGCTGGGCAGCCCTGGAAGTCACTAGAACTAATCCTCAGGGAGAGTCCTGCATTATTCTGTAGCTTGCAGTGCATTTTCGGAGGGAGTTTTCTGAGCAGCAGGTGGCTTTGAATGCTCTGGGGTCACAGGTAGGTAAAGTAGTGTGATGAAGTTTATGCCCCTGCTGACCTAGCTCAGGAAGCAGAATTGGACTGAAGCTGTTAATTCCATCAAAGCTCATCAAGTGGCTCAAGCAGCCAGCTCCCGTGTGGGGGACCGGGTGTATTTTCACCCCCATTTACATGCACTGCGCGTACAATGTCCAAGCGCCTCATTGCTAGTATTCATGCATCTTCGTATAGACACTGAGGGCATAGCTAGGGGCCTAAGGTTATAAAATGGTAGTCCCTGCTAGAGCTTTCTGTGTGTTAGTTACAGCATCGTTTAGGATCTCAAGCCTTTGTCTTAATTTTTGTTGTTGTTTTAAGAGAAAACTGATCTTAGAAAGAAGTGCAATCTGAGATGCCCCTGGTTGACTAACCAGCTCAAGCTGTCTCTGGTATTGTTCACCAACTCCGCTGGAGGTCCATCAGCCATTCCTCATAGGCAAGATGCTCCCTTCTGAAAGGTTTTCATGGGCACAGAATGTCCATGACATTGTTTTTCTCTTATGCCTTTTTGTCAAGTTCCATTTTCTCCCCTTTCCCGGAGTGCCGCTTTTAATGACCACCTTGGTGCTGCGTTGCTTGGCTAGAGCATACTGTTTGTCACTTATGTCCCACCACTGCCTCGGGCAATCTTTCTTTCCGGCTGGTCTTTCACCTAATGACATACTTCTGTGTCTCCACTTATGGCATCCTGATGAGGATAATGGGCCAAGGCTTAATTAGGAGACATTATAATCGTACAGTGCAGTCTCTTGTAGTGCACAAGCATTCCTAAAATGACAAGGGGACTTCGTTTTCTTTTGTCTCGCATTCTAGATCGTTTCATTGTTCTCGCTCCAGGCCCACCCACCTCTGCAAAGGTATGTCTCAGGTTCCCTGAAACAAGCACCATCTTAGGCGAACAAGCCCCTTACCTATTTGCCAGTCCCAGGGCACCTTCAGCAGCTCCTTGTGCTCCATGATGGCTCTGCAAACGGAGAGGAAGTGGACATGAGCAAGCTTAGGAAGCATCCTACTTCTCTTCACGCACCAGCTTTGTACAAATCACGCAGCAACCAACTGAATGTCAAAACGACCTCTGGGCCATGCAGAGGCCAGTCTAATTAGACAGACTGGGGTTTATCTCGAAGCATCTCATCGGGGGTGGCCAGCAGGGGTGAACGGGCCAGTGGGCACGGTGGAGCCCAAGCCTCCCACTGACCTGCACACCCAAGCAGTCTGCCTCTGGCCCGCGTTCGTTCTTGCTTAGATGCTTCCTGAGAAGGGAACGGTGAGGTTCGGCAAATGTCTGTGCTTGCAGGTGAAATTAATTTTCTGACTGAGCATTTTTGGGGGGTGGGGGGGATTCTCAGACTTTCATGTACAAAAAAAAAAGCTTCCTGGGCCTCCTTCCTAGCGATTCTGAGTCCACAGATCTGGGCGGGGACCGTGGATGGCATGTCTGAGGGGTTCTCGCATGGTACCAGAGCAGCACACTGAGAACCACCGCTCTATAAGAGGATCAGAGGTGAGGGTGGCACCATGCCACCAGTGCTGTTTGGTTTTGGTGGGTCCTTGATGCATCCCATTTGCCAAACCCACCCACAGGCCAGCACTTCCATGATTTTTGTAGCAGTGTCTCTGAAGGGCTCCATCGGCGCTAATGGGGACCGCTAGTGAAGCCAATGAGCTCTGGATGTAGGAATATATTTGTTGGATTCAAGAATAATAACCCATAAAATGAGCCATCCATCTATAAAATGTTGGTTCTGAACAGTCGAACTAGGCCATTTCTTTTCCTCTCACACACCTAAAGCGCCAAAGTGAGGAGCTTTAAAATGCCATCGTGCTTTCAAAATGAACCAACAGTAAATCCTCGGAGAGTCTTCCCGTCTCAGTGCCTAGTGTACTACGGAGCTTTTCACTTCTATCTGAGGGTACTGACATTGGGAGGATTCTTGGAAACAGCCTATTTGCAAAATATTTACGGCGATGCTAAAATATCTCCCATAAATAATCTCAGGAACAGAACCAATACAATTGCAAAGCACTCGCTTTGTAGAAAATGATTTGGTGAGATCAGAATTGCCTGCTTTGTAAAAACAGATTTGATGAAATTAGACAAGAGGCCATAAGTTTATTCATCTCTTATGTGAAACTCAAATAGGTGGCCTTTCATGATGAAAAATTACACTTTGTTTGACACTTATTCTCACAGCAATTTTTGAGGCACAAACCAGTGATGACTTATATGTCCCCGCACCAGAATTAGTGAACATTTGGTGTTTTGACTTTTTGAGAATGTCTGTGTTACATCTTTACCTATTTTTAACAATTTATTTTTATTCTTCCCCGCCCCCCCTTTTTTCCCATTGACCCTCTCCACCCCATCCCCAAGTCCTCCTCCCCACCAGGCCTTCTCTGCACTATTCTCTTTTTCCATGGGGCATGCATGTATGCATATAAGTTCTTTGGTTATTTAAGGGAAATGGAAACACAACATTTCATGCAAATCCATGGGCAATAGATGAGCACACTGATAAAAGAGCAAAGTTAAATGGCAAGATTTCTGGTGGCAGTCGCCACTAGTGAACAGAATGTCCCCTTCTGGAGGTGCACCAGATCATGGCATTGACACTTCATTTTTCTATTTCTCTACGTAACAACCCACAGGCTAGCTTGGGAGAATCAGTGTACATCCCATGGTTTCTTGTCAATCATCTTCAAAGCCCATTAAATGTTTTTCTAATAATTTACAATAAACTTACTTAGTTTGGAAGAAATTTACTAATAAAGATGTTGAGTTTTCAGATTTCATGTGGGGAATGGTGCCAGGTTCCCAGCTTTGATTTTTATAAAATAAACTTACCAACCCTACGCCAAAGTAAAAAAATTTCAAACACATGCCAACAGAGTCTCTACTGTCTGAGTTTCTTGTTATTTTTACTCACAATTGAATTCCACTGAAAAATGCCCCGAAGAGTCCAATCATGCCCAGGAATTCCACTCGGCTCAGGGTTCGGATGATGTACTCTTCCCAGACGTTAGAGATACCATAGAGTGTGGCTCCTGCTAAGACCAGAAGGTCCCCTACCAACTTATTTTCCCCTAGGGACAACAACAACAAAAAACAGAGAGAGCTTCATTAAAAATTCTTAACAAGAATTTAGTACCAGCAAAATTCTATTCTGACATTTTTAAAGAAGTTCTATAACCTATCACCCGAGTTTTAGTGAAGTTTGTTTATGGGTGGTCAGATATGCTTCCCTTACTCACTCAAGAAATGCATGAAGCATTTCTCCTATGTGCCACTGTTCTAGGCATGGGCAACCAAGCATGAGTAAGACACAGACCATGGGAAGACCAGGTTCCTTTTCTTCCACCCAACAATGAACATCCCATGGCTTGCCTTGGCCTCACCCCCTGAGGCAGGTAACCTGGTGAACGCACAGACACTCACCTGCTCCCTGATGCCTTCCCACAAGCACGTCCGCTCCCACCATGCAGCCCATCCCCAGGATGCAGACCACGATGCCGATGAAATGCACAGCCTTGTACCGGATCAGCAGAAAGAACCAGGAGAGTAAAATCACCACCGGGATCACAAAGCAGTCCAGGAGCTGTTGGCAAGGAAGACAAGGACCGCAGGAGGTCAGGGGGAAACTTTTTACGTAGTGCAGAACCATAACTTAGCTCTGTAGACCGGCCAAGTCCCATGAGTCTGCGGTTCTGTGTAGAGCCAGAACTAATGCAGTTAAAACAGACTCAGAAACAAACTCAAATGAGTTTTACTTAGACAACCTCAAGAGGAAAAGGGGAGAAGGCAAATTGGTAAGACAGGCTGGTGGGAAAGACTCTCCGGATCCCTCAGTGCCTAGACCCCAGAGGAACACCTGTATACGCTGAGCTATTTCACATGGTCCTTCCACTTTAGGAATAGATCTGGGAATGGGAGGTAAGGGGGCAGAAGTCTTACATTGTTTTATAAATTATTAGAATTTACACAAAAGTTGAACTTAATTTCTCCCAGACAACTGTCTTCCCACAGCCAGTAAAAGTTACTCTCATCTGTCCTTGAAATTTCACTCTTCAAAAGAAAATTACTGTAAATATAAATACAAATATGAATCTCAGAAGTTTACACATAACTTTAAAATGCTGTTATAAAAAAGAGTAATAAAAGCTAGAAGTTTGAACAGAGTGTAGAAAAAAATAACTGATTTCATTTCTTATATATTTTGCACAAATAGTGAGATTCCGAAAGCCCCGAGAGTTGGTGAAGAATCCACTCTGACATGCAGTGAGGTAACATGGTGAAATGAAAATTTCAGGCCGGGGGCCAGAAATCTGAATTTGAGCGCTAAGTCCTTGCTTATAGCGACATGACTTTGGGAAAATCACAAATTCAGGAAACATCAATTTCCTGATAGTAGAAGATGATGACTCCTACTGACTTTCCCCAAAGATCATTGTGAAGCTCAGAAACAATACATGTGAAAGCATTTTGTAAATTGCTTGGGCCTCCATGCCAATCTACAATCCTGTTTACCAACACATACGCTGGGCTCCATGTACTGTTGTTTCTCTCACACTGTGGTAAGCTGCAGTGGCCTTTGACACTCCATGCAAAGTAGGGTCTCCACGAGACAAACTCATCTCCCACTGGACTTCAAGTCCATATACCAAATGAGAAGCTGGCGATCCTGTCCCAGTGCTCAGCACAGCTTCTCCACTAGAATCCTCAGTAAGTGGTCCTACCTTCCAGAAACCAGATTCAGAACAGTGACCTCTAATACTCCTCCATTATATATCCTATTGACCACTGACTTCTGCCAATTCCGTCTTTTAAACATCTTTCAAATCTACTCATGCCATCCTCCCTCACTTCCACCACCTAGACTGAGATAGTGTCAATTGCAGTAATACTAAATATTGAATTATTGGCATAACGCCTGCCTTCCTCACATGTCCTGAGGTCCAGGGGAACAAGAATATATTCCTGTTACTCAAAACCCTATTGGGGAAATACAGTATCCAATAATAGTTATTGAACAAATACATGTATGAATTTATAATGACCAGAAACATCAAAATAGAGTCTCCAAGATTCATTTAAGGCTGAAAAATATATGTTCACCCCCCCTGTTCTATGGTTTCACTTTCCCCAGTTTTAATTACTGTTGTAGTAAAATACAAAAATGCTTTAAAAATGCCAAAAACCGTTAGGAAGCTTTTACAGTGTTTGAGTTAACTTTATTTGAAACCTAAAGTGTGATATTAAGAACACATTCCCCACTAACCTGAAGCATGTGTATCCTAGAGATAAGGATTTGAACTGACTCAGAGTAACTTGCAAGATAGCCATTTGTGTAAGGATGTCCTCTCCCTAACCTCCCCCTGTTTGAGATTAACATGTGTGCATTGACATAATTCACTGATAGCCACCTGAACTGCTGCAGGTACGGAGTAGGCTTTACAAATAAATCCTGGTCAGCTTACGACACTCGCCTATTGAGACAGCCACAAAGGCATGTCCTTCTGTCAGTCCAGCAAGCTCCACATTCCTCTTTCCTGCCAGATGACAGAAGAATGGCTAGTAACTCCCCATTGAGACAGGACTGAGCTCTCGGGTGAGGAACACCAGCCCCCTGCATCCAGACTAGACCAGCCCAGCTGCAGGACCCCAGAGGACACCACCAGGATCCCCAATTAAGTTTGTACCCGCAGCAATAGCAACTTGTGTGGGTAATAAAATGCTGTGTGATTTGCAACTGCATATGATTCATGTGGTATAATTAAATTCCTCCGGCAGCTAATTGAATTATTTTGCCTACGCTTAAAATTTAAAGTAAAGCTTCTGGTCTTTTTGGTCTGAAGCCTGCCCTTGGTCCTGCTGGCATAGAGTAGCCTCTTCACTAGCAACTACTTGAATGTCCCAACTGCTGCACGGTTAAAGTTTATCAAGAGGGACACCTTAGATAAACGCCCCAGATCCTTTCCTGGGATCGACTTGGGACAGTTACCCATGGTCAACCACAGTCTGAAAATATTACATGGAAAATTCCAGAAATAAACAATCCATAAGTTTTAAGTTGCACATCATTCTGAATAGCACGATGCAATCTCATGCTATCCCATTCCATCCTGGCCAGGGCATGAATCACCCCAGAGTATCACACTATATATGATACCCACCTGCTAGTCACTTAGTAGCCATCTCAGTTATCAGATTGACTATCACAGTATCACAGTGCTTGTGTTCAAATAATTCTTATTTTACTTATCCTGTATAATAAAAGGCTAATATGCCAATCAACCAAATGGTGGAATGACTGATCACTATGATACGCACTGACCACCAGGGGCCAGGCTCTCAACCAGGGGGCAGACACCTCCGTGGCAGTGCTAAGGATGAGTGGGCCTAAGCCGTCAGTCACACATCCCCCAAGGGCTCCCAGACTGAGAGAGGGTGCAGGATGGGCTGAGGGACACCCACCCCCAATACATGCACTGGGCCCCTAGCATTGTTATAATTGTTTTACTTTATTATTGTTAATCTTATTATTTATGTCAATAATATTATTTTATTATTGCCCAGTTTATAAATTAAACTTTACCATAGGCATGTATGTACACACATAGTATACATAGGGTTCTGTACTGTCATCAGGGGTCTTGGAACATGTCCCCCAGGAATAAGGGGGGGGCTACTGTATTTGCAGAGCATCCCTGACTGTTAGAGTGGCTTTTGGCCCTATAAGTAGCACTCAGAATCCCCTCCATCCTGAAGCTTTTTGTGACCTGGACAGATCCTTCCTGCTTCTCTGTGCATTGGTCTCCTCTGCAAAATGAAACAAGCAATCAGATCGTAAGCTGTCCCTGGGGCTGCTGGGAGATGAGGTGATGGGCCCCGTGAAGAGTGATTTCACAGTGTGATGGCTGGGGGCCGAGTCCGGAGGGGACAGCACTCCCGGAGGGGCAATGTAGAGAGGGGGTGGCTGGTGGGGTTGTACCACACAGGGTTGCTCACTGCATAGGTAATTAGCGAAGGGACAACCCTACTCGATGTGGTAACATGCTCTCAGGCAGGCTTTCTCCCTGGCCTCAAATGCCATTCAAGTACACTAGGAAATTTCAGTTTGCTAGGGAAAGCTGTTCCCTGGGCACAAAACAGTTGGTGTTTTGCTTTAAAAATTAGAAATGATTGCATCAACGGTTGAAATATTTAGCCGCATGCTCCACGGCTGGGATTTCATTATCTGGCTGGAAGCCCTCGATCCAGGCCTCCATTCCTGGATTACTGAAGGAGAATGAGGCGATCATCCCATCTTCAGGGAGGACTGCACTGAGCCTTTTGGGGTCTCAGTGTCATTAGAAACCCCAAAGCATATGATGAGTCCTGGGATCTATTCCCTTAATGGGTGGGTTGAGCAAAAAAAAAACACACACACAAAAAAAACAAAACACAAAAAAACCCGCTTATTTGCAAATAGCAGGTCTTATTTGCTGGGAGGATTTTCAGGAAGGAAGAAGGGAAAAGGACAATACAAATCGGAGCCAGGGTTTCTGAGACGCTGCAGCCAGGGAGGGGTGGTGCCCGGACACAGCAGGTGGTCAGCAGTGAGTGGGAAAGGGAATTAATGAATGGCAGCCACTTGGCATCACTGAGGGTCAGAAGGGACATGTGAGGTAACCCAGGGTGCTTGCTACTGGCATTTGGGCTGAAATAATTCTTCATCTTGCAGGTCTGCCCCACATTCTCTGCAGAGTACAGTTGGGCCCTGACCACTAAAAAAAAAAAAAGAAAAGAAAAGAAAAGAAAAGAAAGAAAGAAAAAGAAAAAATATGCTTCCACACATTAACAAGTGCCCCTTAGGGGTGGTATCTCCCCAGTTTGGAAACGGGGGGAGGGTACTGCCCAGTTTGTGACCCTTTATTAAATGTTGGGAACTCAGAAGTCCCAAGAGAAGTGATGTGCTCAAGGTCATTCAAATTGCTGACACCAACGGCAGTGCCGTCATGGTTCTTTTCTGAACAGTATTTAAGGAAGGTCAATTACAACAGGGTTACTACAGGTGGAGGTCTCACTCCGGTACCTGTAAACTACAGAAAAGGAACCATTGGGTACATGATGTTATTAAACAGGCTATTCTTTGCCAGTAATTTCTGGCTCCAGCCTTTTCCCTGAGGTCATATAGCATAAAGCATAGCGACAAAATGATTTCCCAGTTGTTTTTCTGGTAGCCTCACTCCTTAGCTAAGCAGCAGTTAGAGTAACAACAAAGAGAAACATTATAATAGATGCCTGTTAAAAAAAGAAAAAGAACCAAGAAAGCTTCCGATCTGTCAGGAACCTGTATACTGTATTTATCTTTCTTTGCATACATTTCTATAACCAAAAGAAAGAGTATAAAAAAACATCTGTACCAAAAAAATGAACAGATGAATATTGTTTCACAATCATCTTATGCTCAGACAATTCTCAAAGAACTTTAAGAGTATTCTGGAAAGAAAAGTGTTCATTACCTCTTAAATTTACATAGCATTCTCCCCTATGGATATCAAATTAGCTATTTTGCCGGAGGGAAGGAGCAAGACAGAAAGGAATGTAAGTCTTCCCTGGCCTCTGGGTGATACTGCGGGGAGAACTAGATCCCGCTACACTCCTCCCAGACCATACTTGGTTTGGGTGACATGCGTGTTTGTTTCTTGATTAAGAATCTCAGTATTGCTGAAACTGGTTTGGCTCAGTGGATAGAGCATTGGCCTGCGGACTGAAAGGTCCCGGGTTCGACTCAGGTCAAGGGCATGTACCTTGGTTTCGGGCACATCCCCAGTAGGGGGTGTGCAGGAGGCAGCTGATCTCTCTCCTCTATCCCTCTACCTTCTTCCTGTAAAACAAATATATATATATTATATATATATATATATATATATATAGAAAGAATCTCAGTATCATAATATTAGGCATAAAAATCTGGGAAAAGAAATCAGAATCTATGAGAATAAAATATTAATAATGGTTATCTTGGAACTGAATCCTCTCCGCCCCACTGCATCAATTCTCTGTGCTCTCCAAATTTCCTCTCTTGCACATATGCTGCTTTCAAAATATATAGAGTGCAAAAAATACATGAGGGTATAAAAGATCCACGAGAGTCAGATCCGTCTCTCTCAAGCAGAGTGGATGGTGTGTAAAAAAAAAATTAAAACAAAACAAAGAGCTGCCACCCAGCTGTTCCCATTACAGGAGAGCTTAATGGGGAGGTGACCTCATCCCTCTTTCTAATTCTCCCGCCCAAAAGAGACTCCGCCAGCCTTCAGCGCCTCATTAACGCTCCCCTCAGGCTATTCACCGGGAGAAAGCTCCCCTCACAGGGCCCAGCTGTCAGAGGCTAAACCCGAGGCAACTGGTAGGTGATTCCAGGGAAAAGAACATTTCCCCAGTCCCCCTTCCGCTTCTTCTAATTGGCAGTTCTCCCATGTTTCTAAAAGTGATCTATATTATAAATTCATCTCCGGTGAGTAAGACGGAATTGTTAACAGGGAAGGATCTTCAAAAAGACAAACTTCAGTTACACAGACACAGTAAGAGCCCTCTTTGGGCTGGCAGTCCAGCTGAAGAGAGTGGATATAATTTGGGAAATGTACATTCACATTAAGCACCATGTTAATTCAGGGACCTGGAGACCATCCCAGAGGCATTCTTGAAAATCCAACCCAGGGGACAATTCGGGGCGTGGTGTCTCTGATCTAGAACCAATTTTTCTCAGTCCCTCCCAGGGCTAGTTCATTCATAATACCTCTGTGCCCCCGCCCCCCCCATGCTCCCCAAACCCCATATCTTAGGACTTAATGTTTAGGCTTTACTCTTAAAACACTCCTACTGGAGGAGGCCATGTTTCCATGTGCTGCCCAAGAGCTCCAAACAGATAAACTGGGTCACAGTGTTGACTGTACGACAGCCATTTTCCAGGAAATGTCTTATTTTTAGAATTCAGAAAAAGATTTTCTCCAAACTATTTTTCTTGTTTCCACAGGTAAAGTTTTAAATGTGTGAGTTTCATATGTTCCCATGTGTCAGTTCATCAGAACTTCCACAATGTTCAAGTATATTCTCTTTACGTTTTCGGCTTCGGCTCTCAAAGATGAAAGAATGGAAGGACAGAAGGAAGGAATAAAGGAAAGAAAGAAAGAAGGAAGGAAGAAGGGAAGGAGGGAGGGAAGGAAGGAAGTGAGGGACGGAGGGAGGGAGGGAAGGAGGGAGGAAGGAAAGGAAGACACTGCAATGTGCTGAAAATCTGGGATGGCCACCTAGAAATCTGGGTGACCATGGGAAGATTCCAATAATGAGGAGACACACGTTCTTCAGCTCCGATGCAGTGAAATCTGCCCTGGGTGAAAGCAGAGCTGTCAGAGCACAGGTTCCTTCCGGTGAGCATCATTAGTTTTTTGTTTTTCTTAAAACATGTTTTTATTGATTTTATTATTTTTTAATTTTTTAAATATATTTTATTGATTTTTTACAGAGAGGAAGGGAGAAGGATAGAGAGCTAGAAATGTTGATGAGAGAGAAACATCGACCAGCTGCCTCTTGCACACACCCCCACTGGGAATGTGCCCGCAACCAATGTACATGCCCTTGACTGGAATCGAACCTGGGACCTTTCAGTCCGCAGACCGACACTCTATCCACTGAGCCAAACCGGTTTTGGCTGTTTTTATTGATTT